CACACACACACACACACACACAGATGTTATTCCTGTCATCACAACAAAGCTGGCCACAGCTGGCTGGATGAGGGGGTGTCCCTGATTTTGCCACATGTGTGGCTGAGATTTAGCTCTTGTTGTTTGAAATTCAGAATGGAACAACTCTTTAATTGAGGTGGAATGAATATAAAGAGAAGAAAGTCAATTCATGTCTGAGCAGATATTAGTTTCAGTTTGTAAACAGGAAAATAAAGAGGAGCAGTCCCTGACCCTGCTTTTCCTGCGAACAGCTTCTGTTTTTTGTTTGTTTGTTTTTTTAAATGGGGGTCCTCACAGTTTATCTTTTAGGGTCAGTTTCCCCTTAATGTAAAAGTGCAGAAGGCGTGCTGCACAACGAAGAATGGGTCGCTTCAAACGCCAGAAGCGCATCGGGGCGGCAGTGTGCGCTGGACGGTGGGGCGGCAGGCGATCGGATCACCACCCTTTAAGCTCCAGACCTGGAGGGGCGCCAGGGAGACAGCTGTCGAGATGGAGCGCTTGTTCAAAGCTGTCACCCCCCCCCCTCCCACACACACACGCACACACACGCACACACACGCCTAAAAGAAGCTCTCCTCCGTCCTCTTTTATTCGCTGTAGAGGAGGTGTTTGGCAAGGTTGGCTGAGTCTATCCTCTGTGCCAAGCTGGGGGGCTTTGTACTACAGTTCCACAACGAAAACACGCTGATAAGGGCTGGTGTTTGTTTAGGGAACTTATAAAAGACCGGTGATGGAAGTCTTAGTTTTTAAGTACACATAACATTCATTACCCAATCTAAACACATCTAACATTATGATCCTGACACAAATCCCGTATTTCCGTTTTAGACATTATTTCTTGTTTTCTCTTTCTGAGTATTAATTTTAGATATCCCCTCATGTCGGGCGGCAGTTGGCTCAGACTGTCTGTCTCAGACTGTGGAGTAAGTGTCAGTTTGTCACCCACTGTGCGCAAATTGTCCCTCAATTCATGCGTAATGAAAGCGTTCACGGTACCGTGAACCTGACACTTTATCAGCTCATCGCATTATTAAACACCTTTTCATCTCCTCCCACAACCTGGTCTGACTGTGTGTGTGTGTGTGTGTGTGTGATGTCTTTTTGTTTTGCTCAGATGCCAGCTGAGTTCAGTAAGTCACAGAATTCCCCATTTTACCGCCATCTGCCGGATGGAGACCTTGTTGATTACATAAACCTCGTTCACTGTGTCACTACTCCACTGCGCGAGTAGTGTGTGTGTGTGTGTGTGTGTGTGTGTGTGTGTGTGTGTGTGTGTGTGTGTGTGTGTGTGTGTTATGTCTAACGAGGTAATCCGATTCTAGACCAGTCATATGAACAATCTGCACTCACTCCGATTTGTTAGGGTAGGGGCTTACAACAAAAACAACAGCAACGACAACAACCAACACAATACTACTGCTGATAATAATAATAATAATAATAATAATAATAATAATAACGTCTTCAAATCCTTACCAGAGTCACTAGGCGCGCTCCCGTGCACCGTGGATGTTTTAATGGTCCCAGATGAGTCCCTGGTGCTGTTTTTCTTGTTGATCGGGAAAGGGAACACTACTGTGGGGTCCACACACTCTGACATCGAGTTGCGGCTCACCACCTCCTGCGCCTTGACGCACACACTCCTGCTGCCTGCTGTCGCCGTGGAAATAGCTTTGCCGAGTTTCTCCGTAACCACCCGTTCCAGCTTTTCCCTGGCAGAAAAGCCACTCCACATACAGTCCTGGATGATGATGCTGTTGGGATTAGAATCCAAAGCGGAGCCGAACAGATCGTCGGATGCTCCCCATATATCGTCCCCAGGCAGGAGCAGCAGCTCGGATGCCCAGTCCAGTGGGTCCCCTAACCCGAAGCCAAGGGGGTCTGCTTCCAGCGAGGCAGTTGCCGGCTCTCCCGGTAGCGCGGCGCGGCTTGGAGAGAGGGGCGGAGTGGGCAGCAACTCGAATTTCTTCCAGATGTCCTCCCCCGGTGGCGCAGAGTCGGGACCGCAGAAGTAGAAGTCCTCATCCGGATAGAAACACGGTTGTAAGGAGTCAAACTCCAAATCGGAGTTTTTACTTATGATCGCCGGCATTCTATCCCACAATCGAAAAACCTGTGAAGAGACAAAAGATGATTTAGTCCTCAGTGAAAGAGCGTCTCGTCACATTCCTTCTCTCCTCTATCACACCTGAAAACGGCACTGTAGAAAGAGCATGAGCCAAAGCCCACACACAGACCCAGTCTGCTTGACTGAATTCCGCACTAACTCTTCTGTGGGGTTTAAAAACCACAAAAATCTCACAGGAGAATGTGCGTAAATGTGACCATGACGCACAGGCGGTGCAAAATGACTTTTGACGCACGATTCACTAAAGACCCCCCAAGAAAAAAGATTAAGAAACAAAAAGCATGCTTACCAAAAAAATCAATCAATCAAATGACAACAATGAAATCGAGCAGACACTATGTTTTGCCTAAAATGGGAGGGAATAATAACACTTGTACGTTAAGCTGCTGAAGTGTTAAGACACTCACCTTATCCTGGCTTGGGGTGATGTACGAAATAAAAATTTCTCGTATCTCGCAGTCAGTAATACAGAGACCAGAATGTGAGCAGTCATCTACTTTGGGAGCAAACACAGTCCTCTGACACACTTTCTGGATGGCCACAGAGTGTTATACACTCAGTAAAGCGCTAGGAAGCTCCTCCCTCTCAAAGCGGGGGTCGGGCTTTCGTTTTGATGGACGCGGGAGACAGGAGCTTTCTTTCAAGGTGAATGGAGAAAACAGCCTAAACATCGTGAGCAGGAACGAAAGCCGGGGGGGGGGGGGAAATGAAAAATGTTAAAGGATGCAAAAGAAAAGTGTAAATGAGAGAGTATTCTCATCATGCATTATTGATACACTCAGACAAACTGTCTTATCTGTTCAATGGGGTGTCATAGGAAACTGAAGCAGAAGCAAAACAAAGTGCAAGCTGGTGTTAGTGAGCTTTACCCCAAGTGTTTTATCTCTGTTTAAAATTAATTAATTGATTATTAATTGAGTTTTTGAGTTGAGAAAACAAAATAAAACAAAAGAAGAAACATTCTGGGATGGAAGTAACAAAAACCAACATAATACATTAATCTTTTATAAAACGCATTTTAGAACAGGGTAAGACTCAGCTTTATAAATGCAATCCATGTGTTTATGTATTTGTTTAAGTTGTTACGAACACGAGTCAGTAATTCAAAATTATGTTAAGAGATGTTTTCCTGCACAGCAAACCCTCCTGGCCCTGTAGCTGTCCTGTAAAGCTCTAAATGCCATCTTCTCTTTTGTCTGTGGACCACCAGCATCTCAGGATGAAAGACAAAGTAGGGCTCACTGCGCCCTCACACGGACACACCCCAAAACAACAGTGGAAACGCGCTCTAACACGACCGAGCGAGCAAGACAAAGACATAAAAACACCAGATCGGGTTTTTTTTCTCTCCGCCAAAATTAAAGACAGAATGCAAGTCGGGAAAAATACCAAACTTCTCCTGGGTTTGAAGGAGGAGCATTTTCAGGGACAACCGGCTGTGCAAGAGAGATTTCAGCTGTCTCCGGGATAAGACAAAATTCAAGAAGAGCTTGTTACGTAACCCCAAGCAGTGGTTGTAGTTGGAGTCATTCCCATTCCCTTTTTAATGACAGCTTTAGGAAGAATGGCGCATCTGTAATTATGCGCACAGGCACAGGCGTACACACACAGTCCTGATACTGACTTGCAGAGAAAACGTTTACAAAGCAGATTCCGGTTCAACGCCAGCTGTGGGCAGGAAGAATGACGGCTTCCAGTTATTTTCAGACAAACAATGGAAGATGATAAAAACAGCATTTAATATTTTGAGATTCTATCCTTTTTTCCTCTTATGAACAATTGATATTAATCATAAACGTGACAGCAATGATATATTTCTTAATGAATTACATTTAGAGCTACCAGACATTTCATAACAGAAAAAGTCCATTTTAGTTTATCAACAAACTTTTTTTTTGTTTTGTGAGGGGTTGAGGTTGAGTTCAAAGGACTAAAGCCAGCGAAAAGTGAGAATCTGCAGCTGTTTGGTGTACGGAGTAGTAGGGAGTTTCCTGGGACTTTTTATGCAGCTCCCAGGAACATGGAGAGATGGGGGTTTGGAGTAAGAAACGCCATGAAATCATGGTTCTTGCCAGTTAGATCCTTTTTATTTCTCTCAAACTACTGTTGAGCTTGACCCTTCGGCAGCTTCCTCTGCTGTGAAACAGGGCAGCGAGTGGGAGTGAGAACAGAAGGGAAAGGGTTTTTTTGTATTTATTTATTTATTTATTGTCCACTGTGGATCAGTTGAGCACAGGAAGCTGTTTACTGCTCCTATGGACCAAAAAAAACAAACTGTCAAAGAAAAGTAATGCTGGTTTCATGGTGTTATGAAGTGTCTTGGCATAGAGTTAAAACACTTGCTGAACCAGATGAGATGAAGAGATGCACACACACATTTCTTTGCATTGAAATTGCCCAGATGTTCTTAAAATATTATCACCTGTTATTTGAAGTATAACAGAAGAAAGCTATTCTCATTCCCAGCCTAAATAAGATAAAGAGGCAACTCCAGCTCTTTCCCTGAAGTTGTCAACTATAAATTAATGTGTTGCTTAATATGTAGCTCACTAGAATCCATAATTACATAGACAAAAAGACAGATTTGCCAGAGGTGGAAAAATGCTGGAGGAATAATGCTTTCCTTGTTTTTATGACAATTTGCATGCCCAGTGCCCCCTCCCAGCATTCACCACTGGACCGGGACATGGATGGTTAAGCAATTAGGCCAGTTTTGATAAAAGATTCATAAGTCACCCCAGTGGATAGCGCAAATACAAGCATGTTGTGAGTAAATTCTACTGCTTTGACAGGCTGTGTACGGTCAGAGAGCACTCATACGATATTAATATTTGAATTGTGCACATCAGAATGTGTGTGTGTGATGGCTGCGTACGTGTGTGTTGATTCTTACTGATGTCACATATCATTCAGAGCAAACATTCAGTGATGTAGTGGACTTGAAAATATAGTATACGTGATCACATCACCATGACTTGCAAATATTCACAAGCCTTCCACGGTGTATGTTCTCCTTGAGTGTTTTGGAAATGAAATACAGACTTGTTTACTTATTTAAAACATTGTATACATGTATGTTAGATGTGTAGGATTAAAACACATGGTTTATTGACTTTAAGTCCTAATTTAAACTAGGCTTCTGTTTTAAATCACTCCTGCCCGGTGATATTGAAAATCTGTATGTTTCATATGGGTATTTCAGCATGTTTTTGCAAGTATCTACATCTTTAAGGTGTATTTAGAGTCGAGACAGTCGTTTCACAGTGTCATCACTAGAAAATCCTTGTACAAATCCAGCAATTTCAGGTCATAAATTAACCTGTGCTCTGCTCAGTCTGTGTAAGGCATTGAGTCTCTTTTTCTGTAATCGTGTCAGGTCAGGTTGCACAGTGGCAATCCTCTGCTAAAACAAACCAATTCCAAGAAGAGGCCGTATTTGTTCTCGATCCACACCATTAGATTTCAGCTCCAGCAAGTCCCCCATCCCATAGACCACACCTAAACAGCAGAGCCTACACACCCACCCCTTCCCCCAACACCTTCACATTTACCTTACCCCCCCAAGGTAAAATAGGTGGTAACCTTATCCCTAAGGTCCACCTGAGGAAGCAGTGTCTGAGATCTAGTGGCATCTAGTGGTTAGGGTTACAGACTGCAGCCAGAATGCCCTTCGCTTCACCCTCCCCTCACAAATGTTTTAAGGAAATTTCACTAAAAATGCACACATACACAAACACACACACACACATGCAGGAGACTCTCTTTAGAGCCAGTGTTTGGTTTGCCCATTTTAGGCTACTGTAGAAACAAAGAGGTGCAAAATGTAGGGATTCAAGTAAAAGGGCCTGCTACATCTGTAGAGCTAGAATAGATTGGGTGGAGGAACAGCTGGGAGACGATATGGGTATATCAGTATAACAGTCAACTCCAATAAGGCTGATTTTTTTGAATGCCTTCAGAGTTTGATGATCAACCTGCGGAAACTGTATTTAACAAATAGAAACTCATTTAAAGGTTTTGGCTCTTGATGTAACTTTGAGCTTTGGTGCTTTTTTTTTTTTTACAGATTTCTCTTTAGTGTGTGTGTGTCCAGAAGTCAGGATGTAAAAAGCAACTTAGCTAAGTCCCCAAAAGAAACATAAGGCTGCAACATGCCCTTTTTCAAATGCCTAGCAGTGAAACAGCCAATCACAGCCATTTACCAATAGTTTGATCTTAGAAAGTACTAACCCTTTTCTTATTGCTTATAGCAATCGATCCCCCTGCACACTGCACCTTTAACAGAAACCTTCACAGAAATCCAACCGCTTCAGTCTCATTTGAAGTTACTGATTCACCCTTTTTTTCTTTATTTCTTGGCACTGGTTCAAGAGGACAGTGTAATATATAATTTATGCTTTATGAGTTTTTAATCCTCTTTAGAGTCAAGCTAGCATGCAGTTTAAGGCCAGCCAAATGTCATGCATGGACACCGTGGTTGATTTTCTGTTAAGGAGCACGCGTGTCTCTTCCAAAAGTCCTGAGTGGAATCTGACTGTTCACATGCAGCAGATGATGATTCAGGTTAAAGGAAGCCTTTTATTTTTAATGCTGCCGCCAGTTATGACTTCACCAGGATTTTGTAAGACACTTAACTTTGTAAGGGAAAGAAGGAGCGAGTTGCAACAAAGCCCTGAGGAATTTCTATGAGATTTCTATTGCCATTCCTCGGTGAAAAACCCCGCCAAAAACATTTTTCGACCATTAGAAAGCCATATAAACCAATATGACAGATATGCTTGGAAAAATGTTTGTTTTCCCATGTCTATTTTTGGTCCTTGTTTTCCCATCAGGACTATTTTGGGAAGAATAAACTTGCTGAGGAAGTAGTTTGGCCTTTAGATATTACATTTTGAGAGTGCCAAACGTGTGCCTGTGTGAAGAAGTGTCTTGTTAGATCTTGCCCTCAAACTGTGTCTTAAGTATGCCTACAGGTCTACCTGTGCAATTAAACTCGGCACATCACATGATTCATGAAGCATGTAAACATCACTTTTTCCACTTGAGTAATGCTTCTGAATATTATTTTCAGGTTTTCTACTGCAATCTATTCCACCCAGGTTAATGCTTCCTTTGTCGTGCTCCGAGATCCTTGAAGGTGCGAGAGAATACAACAGCACACTGACCCCCTGGGAGACATTTCCACGTAAAGTCTAGAAAGCCACAGAAAATATTTTGCAACATAAAAGCAAATTTGCATGACTATGTTTCAAAAGCAAAGCCATTGTAACTACAGGTAGTGTCATCATATCTCAGTGTGAGAAAAGATACAGCTTGGCTTCATTGAAGGTTGCTGCCAGGGGAGTACAGAAACACATCAACTGTTAGGATCTTTACTTGCCAGTGTCAGCTCAGGAATGCATAAAAAGATGTCATGCAAATGATGAGCAGGCATCCAGCCACAGTGTGGGAGCTTATTCAGAGATAAAGTGATATGAGTATCTACTTTTTTTGTTTGGGTTTTCACCTTTTTTTTGATGATGTTAAAGAAAAAGATTTCAAAAGGTGTT